ACTGCTCCAAGTTGTTTTTTCTTGAAGTGAATGGCATGTTTTAGGCTCTTTATACTCCAGATAACTATTTAATCAGTTCCTGATTTAGTCAACAATTATTAATAATCAATTAAAAGTTTCAGCCCCAATATTATCCATGAACATGTATGTCACTTAATGATGAGCTTTTGCTCATCTTTGGCTTTATGTAGATTCAATCAAATTTCCATGTTTAGAGCCTGGAAGCATCTGCAAAACATCTTATTGTCTGGGCATGGACTCTTCTTCATTAGATGGGTTGTAGAGACTTCTACCGGTCAACTAAGTCTCCAGTCAGAACCCCTGTACTATTGACCTTGCAGGATAAAACACACACTCAGCCTGAGAAGAAAGGAATATCCACTCCTACACGGCAGCAGCCACCTGCACCAACCTCTGTCCCCAAAGCTGCTCCCACACAGCAGCAGGGGGATAAAGAGAAGGTATCTTTAAAGGGCACCCTAACTACTTCCTTCTCACCATTTCTAGGAATCAAGTAGTTTTTTTTTCAACTAATACAGGTGTCTTCTCTGATTAACCTTCTCTCTTTTAATGATCACCCTACATTATGTTTGTTTTTTAACCTCTACCACTCTTCTTTATGCTTCTGCATGCTAGGTTCGACCAATCAGCACTATTGATTTTCATCCCTCTGTCTTCTTGGTAAACCGTTATTTCTAGTACTTTAATAGTAATGTGTTTTTGTTTCAGGCCTCTGAGAAAACCGCGTCTAAGGAACCAGAGAATGACACTAAAAATGCACAGAAAGGTGAGATGTTGTATATTAAACTGTCAAGTATATAAAAAAAAAATTTCCTACTAATGTCATGTTCTTACAGACAAGGGTCTTCTGGTTGAAGTGCGTGTCAATAAGGAGTGGTTTACTGGTAAAGTTATTGCTGTGGAGGCGAATAAACAGAGCATTCGCTGGAAAGTCAAATTTGACTATGTACCTCGGGCCACCCCCAAAGACAGATGGTGAGATGTTGTCTTTTTTTATTTTAAGAACTTTGATTTATTCCACAGAAAATAACTTTAGCTTTTTCTAAAGGGTGTTCAAAGGCAGCGATGAAGTACGGTTGATGAGGCCACCATCTCCAAACTCTCAGACCCCCGACACCCAGCAAGAGACTGAGAAAGGTTCAGCCCCCATGGAGCCCGATACGACTCAGCCTGGAACCAGCAGAGAGGTGACGGACAGCCTAGTCGCCATGTTGAGGTGAGACTCTTGATTCACATAGAAACAATGTTTGTTTTTTTTCACACAAGAAGATTTTATTATATTCAACAACTTGGGCTAAAGGACAATGAAGTTCCTTCTAAGATTTGAATATTACTGGTCAATGTAAAAGGATCTCTGATTGAAGATACCACCCCCCATTTAGATGCTATTTCACTGTAAGGTTGGGTGATATTTAAAAATGTTCCAACCTATATTCTTCAGTCCAACAAATGGCGATGGATGATCTATTCGTTCAAGTCACTGTGTGCAAAGATGAGCATCCCTTCAGAGCGCATTTTCTGCACTGCTAGTAATATTTTTCACCACCTGCTCAGAATTCTAAAACCCAAAGTAAATTTTATGTTTCATCCAGTGGAAATAGTTTCCCCTTTTCCAGTTGTTCTGAATTTGATCGTTATTCATTCATCTGAATCGGAAAATCTAACAGACTGAAAGCTAGGGTGGAGATTTTTATTAATTTTTTTATGGAAATCTCACATCTTCAGTGGAGGCAAGTAATTACCTTTTTTATTTTCTTGTTGTTTAATTTTGTATTTGTCGTGTTAAAATCAAACTGCCTCTCTGGTTGTGGTTCGGCTGTATAAAAACTGCCCGTCTCTGGTTTGGATCAGGTTTTTCTTTATGTCTCAAGTTTAAGTAGATAAATCGCTGCTGCATGGTGGCATTGGCGGAAAAAAAGCTGCAGCTGGAAGGATTTTGTTTATATTATTATTATTTAAAAACAGCATTATTTCTTTTCTTTTTTATTTATTTATTTTTGTTCTCTGTCATGAGCCTTGGGTCCAAAAAAGAAACAAAAAATTGCTCTTTTTAAGGAAAATATCATTGAAGGGCTTAGTTTATCCTCAATGAAATCGATGAAATGGTTGATAGATTTACTTCGTTGTATAGATTAGGTTCTGATCGAAAAGGGGTAAAAGGATTATGGATTATGGTCCTCAGGAAGAACCACAATGCTATCAAAGCATTCTGGAGGCTCCACCAAATACGAGATACTATAATACTAGGCCTAAAATATTGCATGTGGAATCATAAATATGTTGTAAATCCACATCCCTTTCCTAGGATATCCACAGTCATGTCTGTTCATGTTTCAGGACGATGCTGCGTTATTTCTTCCCTCCTGCTTTTCGGATTCCCAAAGACGATGTCAACAGCATGACTGCCGAGGAACTGATGGCATTTCCTTTGGTGAGATACATGATACAACAAGCATGAGTCTCTTGTTTTATTCCAAAAAACTGATCAGAAACATGGATATGTCTAATTAGACAAAGCTGTAGTCTGATAAATCATTTAACCCAGGACCTCCAAAATATACAAAGTCACATATTACATTTACATACAATAGATTTTTTAGCAATCAGTATTGTGACTTTTCCTTCTTACTTTCCTTCTTACTTTATTTATAAATATCAGTGTAGACTGAAAGAATGAATATTAAGGAAAACCAACATTTGTTTAGAAAGATGTATATGCAATTTAAAAAAACACAGATTTAAGCCACTCTGGAATGTGATGCTTATGATTTTAAGATTTCCTGATCTGATTTTGGACTTTATTTTAAAAAAAACACACACAGTTCATATCAAGCTGGTGGTTCTGACCCCAACTAAAGTGTTTCCCCCCCTCTCTTTAGAAAGAGTATTTCCAGCAGTATGAATCGGGTCTCCAGTCACTGTGTAACTCGTACCAGAGCAGAGCTGATGCCAGGGCCAAAGCTGTGGAGGAAAAGAACAACAACACTGAGCTCAAACTAAAGGAAGCAGATGAAAAACTTCAAAAACTACGAACCAACATCGTAGCACTTCTACAGAAAGTGCAAGAGGTATGGTGTGCCAGCCTGTTGTACATGATTGTTTCTCACGTTACATGTTTGGTTAGTTTTACTGTTGAAAACTCAAGTATTTTCTTCTTTTTCTTTCTTGACATTTTCAGGACATTGATATAAACACAGATGATGAACTTGATGCATATATAGAGGACCTCCTTACCAAAGGTGACTAAAAAAGACTGGATTGGCCAAATAACAGAAGGTCAAACAAATAAAAAAGTAATAAAAAAAAAAGAGTATTCAACTCGAGTGTTGCTAACTTCGACTCACAAGGACCGCTACTTCTGTTCAGCGATCCCAGATTATTTGGGGATGTAATCACTTCTCAATCTCTCCACATCTTAAAACCTAAGTTTGATTGATTTCTGTATTGTCGGTTAGCTCTGTGGTTTTTCTTAGTCCTTTTTATATATATATATATGCTTATAGACTGTGTCTATCGGTTTAAAAGATGTTATTACCGCTTAACATCGTAAAGTGTGAAGGTTAATGGTTTTTATATGTGCAGCCGCGTTATAAGCTACACTTGTTTTTCATTTGGTCATCCATCAGGTGGGTGTTACAAACTGTAAGTTGCTGCACAGCAAGTCCAAAAAATCCCTTCTCTATACAATAACTTTTATTTTTATACACTAAGACAAGCATCAGCGTCTCTGGTTATAATTGTTCATCCTGGTTAGCAAACCAAGTTAAAGCGTGAGATGTTACATCCACCAAGAAGAACTACCAGCTTGGTTTTTATCAGTGGAAATGTTCCTTCAGAGCTTCTACATTCTCCCTTTTGATTGTTCTTTGTTCCTTTTTAAGCAAAAAGCTAAATGTCTGTTTATTATTTAGTGGCTGTGTTCTTCATTTTGAAAAGATTTTTAAGATGTCATGGAGATGTTTTATTAAACGGTGCATGCCTTTTCAGTCTAATCGAAACAAGTGTTTGTGTATTTTTGACCAACTTTACTTACAACAATAAAACCGGTCCCAGATCATTTCACTTTTATCTCCCTGTGTTCGATGCATCATTTTGTTTTTTTTAGCAGCTTACCCCTGACTTCCACCTTTATGTAATGTTGCCATTGTTATACATTTTATTGCATTATATTTTGTTTCCGACCATACATTCTGTATATTGTAGCACAAAGCAGTTTTATCAGATGGTGTTAGAAAAAAATTGACACACGTTTTGAGAAGTTGGTCATTGATTTGTTTTCAGCTCCTTCTATTCTGATGCCCCTAAATAAAATGCAATGCAATGCACTTGACTGTCTTTATTGAATCAACCTGTTGTTGTAGAACCCAATTTTTATCTTGTCCAAATCCAATGAAGGTAATCTCTCAAAGTACACAAAGGAGGATACACAGTTAAGTATTAACAGTATTTATTCCAAAAAAGTTACCGGTAAACAAAAAAAAAAAAAGACCCACTGGACTTTGTTTCCTATTTTTAAGACATTCCCATCCAGTAAAAGCTTCCTGGATGGGAACGTCTTCAAACTTGGAAATTAGTTCCAGTGGATTGTTTTTTTTTTTTACTTTTTCGGAATGACTGACCTGGATGACAGAGAATCTTCACCAGCTTATTCCAGTAATGTTTCACAAATCATTGATACAAGCACAAATTACAGAGGAAGATCTTACCATCTATCGGGCTGAAAAAGCCCCACTGAAAAAGCAAAGAGTTTGCACCCTTTCCCTTTTTATCTAAAGGTCAGTCAGCATGTCTCCCTCCCAAAGCAACCCAGCCTAAAGTGTTGCCACATAAGATGATGCTGGAGTCACTCTGGCCACCATACCATTTTTGCTGACCCACACAAGAGTGAACAGATATAGAAATGAACAGATGTAACAGTTATTTAAAACAGTGAAATAAAAAGGAATTAATCCTTAACAAATCAATATGAAAAGCTCTTGATTTAAATTCGTATGGAAAGCCATGGGGGAAAAAATGAGTATGGGGGGATAAATGCATTTCTTTCACTTCTAATCAGTTTCCTAAGAAAAATGACTGCTGCTGGACTACAGAACTTCTTATCACCTTCAGTTTTAATTTAATGCTTTTGTAATTCAAACTTCTCTCTTGGTTGGGCTGCATGTAGGATGGTATTCTTGAGTTAGACCATGACCAAACTACATGAACTGTGTTTGGATTAGAATCCAAATAAAGCTTTAAAGGGGTTTGAGAATTTTGTTAAATACACATCCCAAACTGATTTAAAGATTTGTGTAATAAAACCAGAATAATCCAGACCAGCTATTAAAACATTTTGTTTCTTCAGCACAAGCCCTTTCACATAATGCTGAATGAAAAGCCATTTGTGGATTAAAGAAAAACAAAACCAAAACAGCAGGAAACCCAACTCAGTAAGTGGTTTTCACTGATCTGATCCTAATGTCCTTGAAACTGCAAGGTATTCTACAAAACAAAATCTGGAAGAGTATCACAAATCTAAATACAGCTGTTCTATTAAAGGATCCAGATGTTTGTTAATGAATATTGGGAAACAAATGTAAAAGACAAAGGATGGTTTTAAGGAACAGCAAAAGGAATAAACGTAAAAGCAGGGTTAGGTTACAAACATCTTGCAGTCCTGTTTTAAACCAATCATCCAAAGTTGGAAAACAGGCGTGTGACTAAACCACATGTCTGCTCATCTAAACCAATTTGATCATTAAGGGGAGAATGAATCAGATAAAAAAAAAGCCAATCAGAGATAGGTCACCTCACACCTGGCCTCTCTGGTGGGATACAAAGACATAAGAAGTCCTGTTTAAAGTTTACCAAAGAAGTAGTTGACACAGCAGAACTGGAATAATTTGCTTACATTTTTTTCATTTATTTGTAAAATAAATAATATTTGTAAGCAGAAAATATCTAAATTTGACTTCTTGTCTATACACAAAACTCACTGTGGTCTGAAAGTAAACTAACCCTCATTGCTTTAGAAGCATTTCCATTTTAAAACAGTGTGTTGGCGTCAAAAAGCCTCCCCACTCATGGGATGCAAACTTAACGTATAGCCAAAGCTAAATATAAAAAATGAGGAAAACATTCAGGATTTTCAACATCAAATCACCATTTCCGACTTTTATTTTGAAGGCGAAATTTGTTGTCGTTTGCTGCTGCTGCGCTGCTCTGGGTAAGGATATTTGCTCGTTGTTTAGATCGAATAATCTTCTAAACTAGACCTAAAACCGCTCCTGTGTTTTATTAAATAACAATTCTAACTTGCTTGTAGCTAAACTACTTAACTATGTATAATCAGCTACATTAAAACGCTCCTTTTTACTCGCTTTATGTTTTTTATTGTTAAACTGCAAAAGCAAGCAGCAATTAAAGAATAACCGGATATTATTAGTCAGATTAACAATCAGATTGTTGGTAAAACAGGAATAACTGCAGATTAGTGCATCAAAGATGTGTATAAACATGCAAATAGAGTCAAATGAACTTTGATCTACATCCGTGACCGACCGTCTCTGTGCCTCTTGTTTACTTTCTGTAAAATCACAATAAATCCAAATTAAAGCTCATTTTTTGTATCAGAATAGAAAACGAAATGCCTACTTTTGTCTCTTTGTTTAAAGTTGTAAACAAAAGATGTAAAATAAACAACAAATACATTTAAAGGCATGCCAAGATCACATGGTACAGAAGTCATTTAAGGCTAGTAATAAAATTAATGAAAGTGAAAATATATATTTAATAGAAATATATTTTTTAATATAATTAAATTGAGAAACCAGAGGTGGTTGATTTATATCTAATAAAATGATTAAGCTGTTATAAAGCAGGGATGTTGACTTCTGCTTTCAGATTTCATGCAGACTTTATTTAGTATGAGAAAATTAATAAAGAAAAGCAAATTGAGTGATTAAAATTTGCGAAAGTCCTGTCTATTTACCTGTGTAGAGGCTAGTCTTCTTACAGGTCTGTATTAATTATTTAACAGCGATTAATGTAACACAAGCTGCTACGGTATTTTAATTTCTCTTTTGAAGGAGCTATGACTGTTCAGTTTTATCATCAATGCAGTTCAAGCTTATGTTCTAAATGTTGATATTGAGTGATAATTAAATTAGGATAAGAGAAGTAAGATGTGAAATGTTTCAAGTTTAAACTCAATTAAAATAAATCAATTTCTACATTTTTCTCCTGCTTTCCTGTGACATCTCAACTTTTGAGGCAATTTGAGGCAAAGCTGAGATGATCCTTTATACGACAAAGGGATGCAACACCATTCGAGTTTGTAGACACCCCTGATAAAGACCTTTTAACATTCAGTGTAGGTGGGGGGGAGGTGCGTCTTTTTAAGTATTTGGTGGTTTAACTATATCACCTCTATCACAATCTTAACAGAAACTTTTTTTTAACCTTATTGTTTCATCAATCAGTTAGTTTAATTGTAGAAATGAGTAACTCCCTGCTTCATTGGAATGTGAACATGATGAAATTCAGAGGCAAAGTTTCTTAAAAATATGCAAGTCAAGAGTGCATGACATTAAGGTGAAGCTAAAAAGTAACTTTTCATCCGAAAATTGCCATTCATAAAGCTCAAAGCTATAATAAAAAGGTTTTTATCATTTAGGTTTAGGTAAGTTTGCACATCATAGGATGCTTGGCGTGTAACAATGTAAGATTATATAACTTATTGATTCTGTGAACAGACAGATCCTGACGCCATGGCGGTGTCCTCAGCCATCCTCAGCAGACGCGTAGCTGGCAGCAGCTGCTGCAGGCTGTGGTGTGGCGTTCCTCGACCGCTCATCCACATCAGATCAGCAAGTGCAGCTGAGTCTGGGGCAAGAAAATCTGATGAGGACCATCAGTGGGAGGCAGCAGGTAGTATGCCATTCAGCAGGGCTAGGGTGGGATCTTTCTTTCAGGACCAGCCAGTCCTGAAGAATCCATTCCTGGAGGACGCTTTGCTTAGAGGATACCTAAAGCGACATCTGCCACAGGAGGTATTCTGAGCAAGAATCACTCTACTTAACATGACTGTTTATTATGCTATTTAGCTGGAGAAAAGAATTTGTTGATCTTTGTTTCTTAATCAAATACTCCAAAGTTTTTGAACAGATTTTAACTAAATAATCTGGACTTGAACTACCATCTCTAATTAATTCCTTGTGTTTAGTCTAGTTCTCAGGCCATCTTGTCTGACTTGAATGCATTCGGAGAACGTGTGGCAAAGGAAATAGACATTCTGGGTAGAGAGTGTGAACTCAATCCTCCTCGACTTGTGCATTTTGATCCTTGGGGTCGGAGAGTAGACCATATCGTGACCTCTGCAGCCTGGAAACGCCTCAAAGACCTCTCAGCGCAGGAGGGACTGGTTGCCATCGGCTACGACAAGTCATTCAGGGAGTGGAGGTAAGCCGTCCTCTTTCTTTTTCTACCTCAGTTTAATAACTTAATCTAGTCGATGTCTGGTTGAGTATATATTTGTGTGTTTGTTCCAGTCGTGTTTACCAGATGAGCAAGCTGTACATTTTCTCCCCCTCATCTGGTCTCTACACCTGTCCTCTCGCCATGACAGACGGAGCTGCAAAGGTCATCCAAGTAAGTTTAAAATTGTAATGTCTAAAATCAACAAATCTTTTGTAAACGTTTAAAACTAAATTTGTTGACCTTTTCTTTAGTTTGTGATTAATTTACAACTCAGTACTTTATGATTATCTGTGAAAACATCTGTTCCCTGCACTTTGCTAATTATTCAAATCTCTTGAAGTTATTCAGTTTTTCACTATGAAAAAAACTTTGAAAGATCTCTGTCAATTTTCTATTACGTCACAATTATATGCCAATAAATAAACCCACATTAAAATAAGAAAAAGCATTATTGATTGTAATGTGACAAAATCTAAAGAAAGGTCTTATGAATATCTCTGCATGGATCTCTAACAATGTGCTTGTTTTAATTTCTTAATCCTTTCCAAATTACTTGCATAGAGATATTTGTATGCCAAGGTTTCTTAGCAAAAAAAAAAGGTTTATTGTCAAGCTTCATTTAAATTTGAATAAAATCAATAACATGACTTTATGATTTCAGAGATGAATTCTCACATCCAAACAACATTAATTTTAGCATATATATGATCCAATTATTGTTGTTTTTTTCTCTTCAAATGTGTTAGTTATATTATGTATTTGGCAGCATGGATCTGTAAGAGCCTTTGTTCTTATGTGAATGAAGTCTGTAGGTGTTTCACCGCCAGTGGAAGAAGCGTTCAGTCGCTTGACCAGCCGCCAGCCTGAGCGTTTCTGGACGTCTGGACAGTGGATGACTGAGAGACAAGGAGGATCTGATGTGGGTCAGTAGACATGCATTTAAGTGGCGTAAATCAGTGCAGCCTTCAATCTTGAGGGGAAGAACGGACTCAGAAAACTTTGGTCCCTCTATATGTTTAATAAGAGTTAACTCTGTAGCAGCATATTTATAAGATATATAAATTTACTGACTATACTGAGCTTGTGCTTATCTTAAGGCACTGGCACAGAAACAGTGGCTGTGCCCCAAACGGACGGGTCCTATAGACTACATGGCTTTAAGTGGTTCACTTCAGCCACAGATGCAGACATGACTCTCACCTTGGCGAGAGTTCAGGACAGATCGGGAGCAACAACAATGGTACTCCTCTATGTTGGTCTTTAACTGCTTCCAAGGCATTCAGGGAATGTGTGACATGTCTAGCTGAGCTTGTCGCTTTCTGCAGGGCAGCAGGGGTTTGTCACTTTTTTACGCGGAGGTGAGTCGAGGAGAAGATGGCCGACTGAGGGGCATTGAAGTCCAGAGACTGAAGGACAAGTTGGGAACACGACAGATGCCGACTGCTGAGCTGCTCCTGGATGGCCTGCCTGCATATAGAGTCAGTGACATGTAAAGCATCGTTGCTTTTTACTACCAACTCTTTCTGACACAGAATATACACTAAATACTGATGAAGCAACATAATTTATGCATATGCTGCGCAATTAGGGGAATTCTTCGTGATAAAAGAGCGGCCGCGTGAACTATTGACCATAAGAAGGCTAAACAAAGGCTAAACACTTTATCTGTCACCTTAACATCAATAGCAAATGGAAAAGACAGCTTTTTAGTGCATTATTTTAGCCAACAACCTCCTGATGAAGTTATTTATGTCTGTGTCTGTAGAAATTTCTCAATCCACAGGATGTTTCACAGTCTGTCTGGTTCTAGATTATGATTAGTAAACAAACTGAAAACAGCCCATCTGAGTAAAAACTGCTTTAAGGCCTGAACTTCAGAGGGTTTCAAGAGCAGATCTTCAAAGAAGTTACAAAGTGATATGAATTTCCAATTCAACAGACAGCATATGCAAACCTGCTTTTGTGTGTGCCTTCATCAATATGCAGATCATATTCTAACAACCAAACTGCGCAAATGCGTGGGTAAAGTATATGCAAAGGTAAACATCTATAATGTGCAAAGGGATTTTCTGCAGTTTGCGGCTGCAGATTCACTTTTTTAGTACTTCTAAAAGTCATTCACAAACAGACAGACAAATATCTGCAATAATTGTTGTCATAAAGGAGGCATTGGTACAATGCCAGACAATGGGGAAATATTCTGTGTGAAGAGAGATTAATCCAAAATCTTCCATCAACTTAACTAAAAGCTGCTGTAGACATTTATGTTTTGCAGCGATTAGAGTAGCTTTTATTGAAAACTGGTTTTCATTCAGACCATATTTTCAAATATATTTATTTTTAGGTAATTTGTTGTTTTTAACCAGTTAAACTAGTTTTGAGATAATGTGCACTTAAAGGATAATTGTGAAATCTATAAAACAGTAAACCGGGATGTCACCGTTCTTTCTTGACTGGACCCGATGGTTTCATTTAATCTCCCTGGGCTTTGGATTTGTTCAGTAAAAGAAATAGGCAGCTCAAATTTGCTAAATTTTTCTATAGTTTGGCCCCAAGGTAGACTTTTATCTTGAGTTAAGCTGAAATATTTGTACTGAGAGTAGCAGGAACTAAATCATGAACATCTGGATTGTACATAAATTTTGATTTTCAGGCTAAGTGCCCTGTTTTCCGCTCCATTCCATCAAACTTAATGCTCAATTTCTAACGCAGTGCCTCGGGTAGTAGCGCTGCTTTACTCTGTCTGATCCAGATATTCTCCCTTCATCATCAGCTCTCAGAAGAAGGCAGAGGCGTGGCCTCCATAGCTAATATGCTGACAATAACCAGGATTCACAACAGTGTCTCTGCAGCTGCTGCTATGAGAAGGTAGGATCCCCCATCATAATACTTCCCCTGTTCTCTGCTCGGACTCTGTGGAGCCCTTTCCCCTGTAAGCTAATAAAAATGTCTCTGCTGTCAGAGTGCTCCAGTTGGCCCGTGACTATGCTACCCGACGTACTGCCTTTGGAAAGCTTCTGAAAGACCACCCGCTGCATATGCAGACCCTTGCAAGAATGGAGGTAAGCTAGCAGAAGTGTACAGTATTTTGCATAAGTATTAACACCCCTTAAACCCTCTCTCGTTTTATAAGTTTCCAAATTGAATACAAAAATTATATTTCTTTTTTTGACACCCGACACAAACAATTAAAAATTGAAAAGTTCTGCTTAAAAATGCATTAATTCCTTTTATTCCAATGTTCTGTAGAACTATCCTCACTGCATTTACTAAAGAAATGCATTTGATGTTTGTCTCTGACAGATTTGTACATCTAGAATATTTTTTCAGATTCAGATTGACTTGCATCTGTGAATCTACAGTTCTCAATAAGGGATAATATTTTATAGTACTTAGGTCTAAGCTTTGCTTTAAAACAGAGGTTTGTAGATCCTAGAGACATTCACAATAGCTCTTAATACACTGCCAAATTGATAACAAACTCAGCTAGGTCTTTAAATATAGAGCACTTGATAAAAAAATATTTTGCCTGTCTTTCTGTGCTTTAGGCAATTTCTGCCAACTTTCATTTTCCATAAATAAAAAAAAAACAATTTGCCTTTCTTTAATCATTAAAAAAGCATGTAGAACAAATCATGATTTTTATAAATGGTGGAATATGAAATATTTACCTGATAAGTTACAAGGCAGGAATGGCTCTCTAAACCAATTCAATGTAGCTCAAACCTTATGTTGAGAGTATTTGTGCTCATGGAAGTGAGGGTTGTCTGTCTTACTGGAAAAGAACAGGCCCACAGCATGATTCTGCCACCACCATGTCTCATCATAGGTGTGTTTTTGTCAAACATGGCCTCTAGTTTGTGGACTAGAAAGTTCCAGTTTTACTCTAATCTAACATGAGCACGCTCTTCCATATGTTTGCTGTGTCCTCTTGGCTGTGGGTAGAGTTAGAAGTTACATGTCATCAAAGTTAAAGAGGACAGTTTAATTTTCTTTCCACTCTACTCAGATTTGGATGTGAAAAAAAATAAATAAATAGATGAAATAAAGATGTAAATTGATAAAGTGGCTTCAGGTTTAGGGGGTGTGAACATCTTGGCAGAACACAAATGAACAAATCAAACTCTGAAATTCTGCCTGCTTTGGACAGGTGGAGACACGTGCAGCTTTCCTTCTGGTGATGGAAGTGTGTCGTCTGCTGGGTCGAGAGGAGAGCGGCCTGGCCACCCAGCTCGATGTGCACCTCCTTCGTTTGCTCACTCCTGTGGTTAAACTGTACACCGGAAAACAGGCGCGCTGCTTCTGCCAACATAAAAGTCATTTTTGATGGGGTTAGCAGAGTATCTGACCGACTGTGTTTCTCTCAGGCTGTTACTGTTGTGTCTGAGGGTCTGGAAAGCTTCGGTGGACAGGGATACATCGAAGATACTGGGCTGCCTGGAATACTCCGTGATGCACAGGTAGTGTTACTGCCAACAAAACTCTTCTGTGGTTTAATGGTGCTATAAACCCACATATTGTTTCTCTTATAGGTGTTGAGTATATGGGAAGGAACAACAAACGTTCTCTCTCTGGATGTGCTGCGCTGCGCAGCTCGTAGTTCAGGAATGGTTCTGCATGCTTACTTTGAACATGTCAAGGTACGGAGCGGGGAGCAGTTCCTGTAGGTCAAAGTCATTTACTGGAAGCAGGGCTAACAGCTGTCTGTGTTATTCTGCAGTCACTGCTCACAGGTGCTTCAGGAGTTTCCTCCCTGGCCCCGGCTGTGAAAGCAGTTGCAGGTGCTTTGTCTGAACTGGAGCAGTTTGTCCAGTTAGCAGCTTCCAGATCACCCAGTTACCTGGAACTGGCAGCCAGAGATCTGGCATACAGCCTGGCTCGTATTTATGCAGGTGGGTGCTTAGATATGCAACAGTTACAGGGCAATGCTAAACCATTCATAATACAATCAAATAAATTTAATTTATTCTATTACTTGTTAAAGAAAAATTGTGCATAATGAAAATAAAAAACATCAGTTTTTTTTTTTTTTTTTTAAATAAAAGACTAAACACTGGGGTGTTTATATGGATATAGCCTCCTCAGTTAGTGCCTTGTAGACTCAGCTTTCTACCACAAGTCTTTACTAGCTGTGTTCATTTCAGAATGAATCTACGAACTGTTCTTTATAAAAAACTGCCGAACATCACTTTGATTAAATTAATTAATTCAAAAATCTTACTACAGATTTTTTTATGGTATTCTATTCTAGTCTATGACTATCACATTCTCTTTCTTGGATATGCTTTGATCTAAACCAGAAAGAATTCAGTATTTGCTATAATCCTGTATTTTTTAAGTATATCTGCAAATATGTATGTATACTATGTAAATGCATTGTCCCTTTGAAATAAATAAATAAATACAAATTTATGGAAACTTGCAAGTTTCTACTAGTGACTGTACAGTCCTGTCTTTTCACACAATTGTTTACCATTGTTAATAGGTTAACAAGTTTGAGATCAGTGCTTTAGTCCTTAAATCTCCTGTTTCCAGGTGCACTTCTCATAGACCATGCAAGCTGGAAAGAGGCCACCCCACAGGACACCTATGCAGCTCTCAGGTTGGAAAAACACAAAAATGAAATTGGTTGATTAAAAAAAACATTTTTAAACCTCTCAAAAAAGGAAGCACACATTGTATATTTATTTAATATGTTTCTATTTTGTTTCATCAGATGGTGCGAACAGGATCTATGTCTTGTTGCATCTAAACAGAAGAGAGGCTGCTATGATTCCAGCACTTCATCCCAAGATGCTTCACTGGTTTATATCTGATTTATCAGCTGATTCAAAACTGAGCAGCCTTTGGATCCTGATGAACTTCTGCTTTGATCTGATGTAATCCATATTATTGAATTTGATTGTTTTCAGATAAAAGAGCCGATGTTTCTTCAATACAGAAAATCATGCTTTTTTTATTAAGGCAAAGGTATTATGTTCTAGATGAGAAACATTTCTGTTGTTCTTTAATAATGCTTGGATATTTCCCATTTAAATGATATGACTTAGATAGTTACAGGCTTGTCTTTCATGGTCCTACTCAATTAACATTTATTGAAAAGGCAAAGTTTAGATAACACATGCAATAGAGGAAAGACTGATTCAGAGAAGGTTCTCTACTTCTGTTTTTTAAAAAAGGATATGTTGACTGTTAATAAATCAGTTTATATTTCTTTAACACTATCAAAGTATGTTCTGCTAAAGAGTGAACATCAAGCATGTTATCAGAGATTACTAAAGTTAAACAAGTTTATGTTTTGAATAAACGTTTGTAAAGAATAATTAACCAAAATGGTATTTTTTGTTTGTTTGTTAAATGAGTCCTTAAAATAATGTTTTATTTATATATATATATATATATATATATATATATATATATATATATATATATATATTCATTTTCTATAGAAAAGTTTTAGATATACATTAGAAAAACCTGCATAAATGCCATTCTAGAGAAATCATAAAATCATAGTCTTTATTTTAAATAGGATCCATCCATCGCTTTAGAATGGTTAAGCTGTTTACCTTTATTTGTTAAAAAAAAAGTTATCAAAAAAAAGAGTTATTATTTTTACTTTGTTAATCTATTAATGTAATTTCAGTGACATTTTTAAATTAGTTTTTCAATTTAAAAAAAGACTCAATTTCAAATAGAAAATGGAGTCATGAGTGTAGGCTAACTTAGATTTGGCCTAACATATATATATATATATAATTAAGAGCGATCGAAATAAACTTGGAATTTCAAACTTTCATTCAGGATTGAGAAATCAAAACTCCAACCAATTATTTCCGCTTTAAAACTCCTAAAGGTGTTCCTTAAAATTATTTTGAAATTCATGACTGCGGAATAACATTATAGTGTATAACCCCTGGTTGGGAAATGTTCTTCCGCTTAGTGTTGCTTTGGACCTTTGAATCTGTGTTTTAGAGAAGTCTTTAAACGCATCACGGGTCCGTTTTTTTAACCAATGGGCGGAGCTTCAAATCTCTGTTTTCGAGAGGTCTTAAACGCTTCACGGGTCACTTTTTTCTTCTTTTTTTTTTTTTTTTTATCAATGGGCGGAGCTTCAGGAAAAGGTGCAATAGAAAATTGTCAGGTTGGTAGAGGAGGGCAGCAGGCAGGTAAACAACACCCGCTACAACGTCGTGATGTTTATTTTCATTCTCGTAGGCCCGTGGTTTAATTAAAGCAGTCAGGTCAGCAGCTGGGAGGCCTCCAGGAGCCAAGGGCAGAGTCCTGTTACCGCAGCGATAGCAGCATGGACGCGGTTCCAGGATAAACTGTGGATCCTTACGGCTGTCAATGGTTTCCTGCCTTGGTGTTGATCGGCCAGCTGCTTGTCTCAGACTGCAGGAGTCTCACTAACCAGCCCGGTGTTGGAATAGCAGGACCGACCCTGTTAGCCATGATGTCTGAAAGTACGAGTGACGAGGTGGGTCAGAAATCCTGGCTTATTTCCTATAGTAAACAATCTGCAGTAAGAGTTAACATTAGTATGAGGTTTCAGGGAGGAAGGAGGTCCTTCACTTGCTTATTCGGACATGTTGAGTTATGAATGAGCAGACTGTCATAGATTTACATATAATAGAAATACCCTTTAAATCCCAAAAGTATGTGAGTGACTAGGCAATAAAAGCATATAAGATTTTTAAAATAATAAAAAGAGCAAAAAAGTTTAAGAAAGATTCTCATTGCAGGAAAATACTGTTGCTTTTTGTTGGTTTTACTGATTGCAAAGAGATTAAATGAAAAATGTTCAAGAGAAAAAAAATGGAAGCCAATTCTAGATTGAAATAAATAAAACTGCAAGTCTTTAATTTCTCATTTATGATGCTTTTTCCTCTTAGAATCATCCCTAATTTCTTTTTTTTTTCTCAGAAAGGTCCATCAGGGCCATAATAATAATAATTGTATTTTAGTTACACATTTTAAAGGAAGCTGAGTCAATGTTTATATTAAAGTTATATGGTCCTAGTTTATTTTCTAAACTGCTCAGTTTCTTTTAGTTTTTTCAAATTTAAATGTATTAAACAATCTTTATTAGTTATATTTGACCATTGCTAGTATTAATATGGTAAGAAGGACTCCCAGCCCAGTGCAGCATTTCATGGTGGCCAAAACAGCTAATGTTTAGTTTAGTTTTTTACACATCTGGTTAAGGCTAAAATATATTCTGATTACTTTAAGATAAAATAATATTTACCTTGTTTATATTTCTAAAAACAAGAACTATTCAATGGGCCTAAATAAAAAAATAAAAAAAACACTGCAGAGAAGTATGGGCAAATACTTCTGCACAACTAACAAACTCATTGCCAGGGAGTTAAAGTAAGCTAAAAAAAAAACAAAACAAAAAAAATCAGTATTTTAAAGTATTTTAAATTTAGAATGCATTAAAAGACTCACTATTTTGAGTATTGTTTCCATAGATGGTCAATGTCTTTTTTTTTTTTTTTTTTTTCCTTACATGTTTATTTACCAATGTGTCATAGTTATTGTTAATGTAAATGAAATTAATTCCCAGGATGACCAGTGTATCTTTTGGTCATTTTATTTTTAAAAACAAAACAAGCTATTTTTATAATGAAAAATTGAAAATAAAATACAAGACTTTTTTTCCGTTGTCTAAAAGAAATTAGCTGAAATTATAACATAATTTCAGTTTTGTTTTTTTTATTAATCAAAAGAGAAAATGAAAATTAAATTATTTTCAAAACTCTTCTTATCCCTTTTTGACACAGAATAAGAGAAACACTTTGTATTGCAATTTAAATGTTTGTATTTTAAGACCAAAACTGAATCACCTCTTGTTTTATGTTATCTATTTCTAAATGGAAAATCAAATAACCAAAGTAAAACTGATCCAGGATTATAATTCATTGATGCTTCACCTAGGATTTGGTTCATGGAGGGAAAAAGTATAGCGCAGTTCCCTAAATTCTGGTTCCCCTTAGGGCTTTAGATAAAAAAATATGTTTCATTTATTGGTTATATTTGCACTTTAGAAACTTTACAATAGCGCTTTTAACGTTATGATTGATTACAGTACAAAAGATTGCTTTTAGGTAAAGATCCAGAGTTGTAGTGTTTGAGATTAGTGTTGCCCTTTGAATTTTAGAAATATTTGCCAGGGAATCAATAAATCAGTACGATGATGAAACCAGCACATTGTTTATACTTCTCCTCCATGTGGACGCATTGACTTAGCTACCTGTGTATCCGTGCAGTGCGACCTTGTGATGAACTACAGCGCCTCAGAGCGATGCGCCTTCGTGAAGAGGACAGCCGACTGCAGCATGGCAGATGGCATGGTGAACTACCTGAGAGTGGCCTTCTGCTTGCTGCCTCCAAACCTCACACCTCTCACCATCACCCTCTGTGTAAGACCTGTTTGTTTGTGTGTGTTTGCTTTTGTAATCGCTCATGAACCCACGTCATAAAGCAGCAGGAAAATCCGCAGATCAGCAATGGATGATGAGGAAGTTGACTGAGCGGCGGAAGAAGTGACACACAAAACAAAACACTAGTTTCACTGTTTGCTAAATCCTGTAACTTCACTGGGATTCTTAGATATATTCAGTTCCTCTAATGAATACAACCAACTCATATGAAAAAAAAAAAAACAGGAAGTAAGATTGTGCTTTCCAATCTGACCACTGAATATTTTTTGGAGAACATTAATTTTATATATATATATATATATATATATATATATATATTAAAAAAAACTTAACCAAATCCACAGTTATTAGGAGGAATGTCATCTTTTTTCTTGGCAATTGATTAATTTGACTATGAAATCATTAAAGCATTTTCTTTTGGCTGTTTATTTGCAGGTCATATGGCTGCTCGTCCTGTTTGTCATCCTTGGACTTGCTGCTTCCAAGTTGTAAGTATGTTTCCTGTTACCGGGGGCAACATGTGCCCTCTCTGTGTGTTTAGTTTGTAGATGGTAAAAAGGCATGTGAGCTGACTTCACCCTGTCAGCCTAACAGTCATGTGACTCACATGACTGTTGAGATAAAACTTCATTTAAAGACACAGAGGGACTTTTGCTCTTGTTTTTGTTTGGTTGTTTTTGTATTTCTTTACATATTGGTATTTAAAAAAAACAATGCTGTTTAGCTGTATATAAAAATGTAAAAACATTTTTTATATGTATTTTATTTGATTTTTCCCTCCCCAGTTTTTGCCCCAACCTCTCAGCAATCTCCTCAACTCTTCACCTCTCTCACAATGTGGCTGTATCCTTTTTCCGCTTCCTTTAACAGCAAGCTCTAAGTTCTTGTTTTTTTTAGTCTCTTTTCTAACTTTGGTAGATGGAGAGAAATCCAGTATTTTTAGTCTATTTATGTGAACAAGATTTGGAACCATATGAAATTACTTGAATTTAGAGTTACAATCTCACACAGATATATATA